GTTTTCATAGAAGCATTAAAAAAAAAAATAAATTTCTATGCGTAAGAGGATTGGATTTCCAGTAAAAACTCCAGCCAAAAACCATTTGAAAGTTGGTGTTTGTTTGTTTTCTTTAAACAAATCAAAACAAACTCTGCTTTAGCCAAGAACTGAACCAGAAAGTTATTCTTGTCCCTCCACAAATAAGTCCTGTGGAACACTGGATCCTTTCAAACCAACAACAAAAGCTGTACCATAAATAGAGATTACTTGTTTTCACTTCTATCATTTCCATTACAAAGACACTTCATCTTTTATTGAACCAGCTCGTGGTTTAAATTAAAATTTGTTTTTAAATAGAAATATTGTTCCCTTCACTGAGTGGTGAAGGCACACCAGGGTGGGAGATCAATAGCACTGGTGGCTGTTAGACTGCCCCTGTCATTTGGGAAGGTAGTTAAATTCACAGCACTGCCTGCAGCGAGTTAAAAACATCTCTAGAGAGGATCTTAGACACTGGGACCTTGGAGTGTTAGGTCTCCTGAGCTCAGCCTCACCTCCAGCTCTCTCTAGAAACCTGCAGTTGTTCTGGTGCCCCAATGGCACAGGGATGTATTTGGTTTTGCTGGATGACCTTTGGAAAGGCCCTGCACATCCCACACCCAACCCTCCCTTCATTGGTACCCCTGGGATCCACAAGATTTGTCACTCAAGCGTGTGCTGTGAGCTCCAAACAAGAAACACTGGAGTAGAGCACAAAGATATCCCACATCCCATCTGACTCCACTGCTGGAGGTGTTCTAGGTGCACAGGACTCCAAAGAACCTGGCCTAGTGGAAGGTGTCCCTACCTGGGGGTGTAACAAGATCTTTAAGGTCCCTTCCAACCCAAACCACCCTAATGTTCTAGGATTTACAGTCACTTAGACCAGCAAACCCTGCAAGCGTAGTCACCATTCCCCAAAACAACACAGCCTCCAGGCACAGAAATCTGCTGTGGTTGAACTTCAGCTCAGGACAGAGCCCAGAGGATGGAGCTGCATGTCCTGTGCAGGCAAGGCCTGATGATTTAATAGCTCGTTCAAGATCTGCTCTTAGAATTTGAATTTCAGAAAAACAACAATCCCAAGAAAATCAATGGAAAAGCGATTTGCTGAATGGCTAAGACATAAGAGCCAATCCATACTTTGGCCAGCCCATCACAAGCACACCAAAGACTTTAAAAAGCCATTAATACTCCAACTTCCAAACAGCATAAAGCACAAAGGGAGAAAAAGCAGATTTAAATGCTGAGATGCACAGGAGCCAGGAGTGCTCTGCTGCCATCTCCAGTGCAGAGAGAAAACCTGCCTGTGCCTCATGATCTGGTGGATGCTACACACATTTTGCAAGTTAGAGAAACCCACGGGCCACTTGCCATTTGAGCTTTCCTTCAAGTGCCCTGCCTGAAAAGCATCTCCTGCTGCTGCAGCTGGGCACTTTGGTCTGATCCCCTTGGGGCATCCCCTGCTTCCCAGATTTGGGCACTGTCCCCTGTGCTCAGGCTGGAGGAGAGGTGAGAGGCCTGCAGGGATGCCATAACCACTGGGACACAGAGCTCCCACCAGGACACAAGTGGTTCTTTTGTGAGCATCACCCAAACACCACCATCAATCAACAAACACAAACACCACCGCACGTTTGGGCTGGAGCTCTGCTCTCCAAGCCTGGCTGAGCTCATTAAGGGGGCTCCAGGGTGCCCTAGGCACCGCTTGGGCTCCGTGCTCTTTCACCCGAGCAGGAGACAGCGGGCAGGGCTCTTTACACCCTGGCACTGAGCTGTCAGCCTGAACTGGGAACAAGCAAAACGACCAAACAACATTAATTGGTTCATTGCATCCCCTGCCAGGGATGTGGCAGCTTTTGGGCGCCACCACCAGCACCCCCAGGCTGGGTTGGTGCTGCACCACAGGAGGGCAGGGACTGGAGGGATGTATTTCTCCTGGCTGCCTGGTCTGCAAGGACCTTCCTGAGATTTATACCCACTACAGATTCAGAGTCTTACGGGAAAAACAGAAATCTGGCATTCCACAGAGGAAAACAAACCAAACAAGCCCAGGTATGGCTGCTGGAGCCCTGCCAGCCCCAGGAGTGGTGGCATGAGCTCCTCACCAGCTGCACGTGGCCACCAGCTCCGCTCTGGTGTCACCCTCTGTCCAGAGGGCTCAGCTCACCCATCAGGACCCCCTGTGGCACTCCCAAACCCCACTGCCCCCCTCACCCACGCTGACATGGAGCCAGGAGGATGCTCAGTGCCCCTGGCACACACTCCCTGCTGAGGCAGGACCACCCAGCCTCAGGAGCTGCCCAGCCCGGCCCGGGAGCAGATGGAGGCCAAGTTCTCATTACTGCAGATCATTAGCTGGACGGGAAGAGCCGCCCCTTATCGCTTTCCCACGTTGACACCAAAGGAGCTGCATCCCTCTGCTCCCACCCGGAATGTCTGCTGGCTCAGGTCGAGGTGAGCCCCAACCCAAGGGCATTAACCCTTTCTGCACCACTGCAGCTCCTTTCACTGCTGTCTCAGTGCCTGAGGACATCCCTGGGGAGCCAAGCAGCTTAAAGCAGCAGCTGGGCACGTTTCACTGGTACATAATTTCAGGACTGACACAGTTTAACCAGAGCCAGAATCCCACCTGAAAGGTGATTACTGTCAAACTGGAGCCATGCCAACTGCTGTCTGGGACTCTTCATTTTCCCTTACCAACAACCAGGCCAGGTGCCAGGGGGATCAAAATAACTGTGGGTAAAGCCTTGCTCAGCCCCCTCAGCCATCAGTGCCAGCACAGCCAAGGGGAGAAAGAAGCTCAGAAAGGCCTAAAGCTTGTATTTCCATCACAATTTAGTGATGATTTAACTTACTGCCTGACAGCTCTTTTGGCAGCAAGGATTTTTATCAATAGAGCAAACTAGGGAAGCTTTGCAAGTCAGTGAGAGCAGAAGCACAGGTACAGAGCAGTGAAGGTGACAGAGAAGCCATAACCACCCTCAGTGGCACCAGAAACCACTGACACAGGCTCAGAGGTCTGAAACAGGGATGGACATTCCCACGGGGCAAACAAATGCCCCACAGCCCTGCAGCAAATCCCTCAGCTGGGCAGGAGAGTGCTCCATCCCTGGGAGCCTGAGCCCTTCATTAACCCCCTCCTCTGGGTGAGGGGACACCCTGGCACCAGAGCATGGCACAGCAGCTCCAGCCCACAGCAAAACCACCCCCACACTCATCCCAGGAAATACCAATCTGGGCAATAGCTGGAATGGGGCTCCCAGGGCCACAGCTCACTCAAAACACCTGCTCAAACCCAAACCCCACCTTGGCTTAACTCAGCTCAGCTGGGAGTAGTTCAGCTCTGTAACAGTTCTGCCCCTCCCTGGGGAGCCCCTGCAGCCCAGGGCTCTCTGCTTAATGTTCCCTGACCTTCCCTAGAGGAGTCAGAGTGCCCCTGGCAGAGGCTTTGATCCCATTCCTGACTGCTGCCCTTCTCCTGAAGGGTACCTTGCTGTCTTTCCCCCCAGCACCTTCTCCCTTTACACTCCCAAAATGCTTCTTTTTGTGTCCCAGGTATTTCCCATTGCTGTACCTCCTGCTCCTTTGGGCACAGCAATCGAACAGCACCCAGCCCTCAGCCCCACACAGATTACAGCTCTCTGTGCTGGAGCTGCTCAGCCCCCGGCTGTATCCTCTGAACAATCTGCCAGCTAATTAGTAATTAATTATTTGCACATCCCTAATGCTTCCTTTCCAGGCTAGCAGAGCATTTTATGAGCATAAAGAAACCAAAACCTATCATTCCCCAGAGCCAGCAGGGAGCCCAACACCCCCAGGGATGCCAAGAGCTGCTCTGCTGCTCACACCAGCTGCTGGGACACCGCAGTTTTGGGGCATGAGCCCCATCCTCAGCTGCACCATTCACATCCTTGAGCTACAGGCAATTTTCCTCTGTGCCCATTATGCACCACTTCCATCCAACAGAGCCATGTGCAGCCACATCCACCACAGAACAGCAGTAACCCCTCTCCCCCCTCCTTTTTCTTCTCCCCTAACCCAACACAAACATTACATTCTTTTTGAGCCACAGCTCTGGTGTTGAACACCGTGATTTAGGAGTCTAAACACCATTGAGAAGCACATAAGAACCCCCTGCTTCCTGCAGAAGCCTCTCTTCCCTCACAGGGCTGCAGAGGGGAGAAGAAGGACCCCAAATCAGCAGCAGTTGCCAGCAGCAATTGGCATCCCAGCTGCAAATAACTCTCGCTCCCTTGGCCCTCATAAATAAGGGGAAAAAAGTTAAGAATTGCTTTGCCAGATGGTTGTAGATCATAAGCAATCTGTCAAAGGAAAAATAAACTGCTCACTGCTTTTCCCCACAGGACTGAAACATACCTGGATTTCCACTTTGATAACACCAGAAACCTCACCCGTACTGGGAGAAACAATATTAACTTTGCAGGAGCTGCAGGCCCATCACCCTCAATCCCTCTGTGCTTTGTGCCCATTCCTGGTATTTATTTAGAAGTCAATAAGGCTTTCCCAGGAAATCTGAGTCCAACACACACCACAGGTACTTGGGGTGGCCACATGGATCTGTGCTGGCCCCAGGACCAGCTCCCCTTCTTCAGCACACTCTGGATAGGCAAAACTCAGAGACCACTCTGCAGAAGCCCATAAGCTGCAGCTGTTTGGAACCTGCTCCAGAAAGGCTTTTCACAGAGGTTAAACACCCCAAGCACTCTTTTGGCTTTAGGGCAGCAAATCGCAGCTATCCCAGGCAGGGCTATCTCTGCCTCAGCCCACCCTCTGCTAGGGCAATCCCTCTGGACCAGCCTGTTGCTCTGGACCAGCAGCCACCTCCTAAACATCCCACACTCAGTGCAGATGTGCTCTCTGTCCCTGAGGCTGGGGAGAGCAGGCTCTCCCACCCCAACACCCCCTGCACCCCACAAACACACAGAGCCCAATTCACCCCGAGTGCACAACCTTACCTGGAACCCAGACAGCTCGGGGAAGAGAGCTCTCCTTCCTCCTTCCCGTGGCAGAGGCACCTCCCTGCCCCTTGAGACTGCTCCCACCCCCTCCCACCAGCAGGTGATGCCCACTGGGGCTGGCCTTGACCACCAGCACCTGTGCAAGGGCAGGACAAAGGCTCAGGGCTCTGCTAGCACCCACCACCAGCTGATTTTCTGATTTGCTGCAGCTTTTGCAGGAGCTTGCAAGTCATCATAGCACCCCAAAATCAGGTGTTATCTCCAACTGGAAGGGATCCATAAGAATCAGCCAGTCCAGCCCCTCGCTCTTTGCAGGAGCACCTCACACTCCACACTCCTTGCTGCCCTCGGGTGCTTTGGGCTACAGCTGCCACTTCACACTGGGAGGATCCCAGTCTGTACTGGGACCATCCCAGTCTGTGCTGGGACCTGACCAGGGCATCCAGTTTGTCCTGTCCCTTTCAGGTCAGGACAGACCTTCCCCTGGGTCACTTCATCATATTTACACATCAATAAAGAAGTTTCCACAAATGCTAAAACTCGTGCTGGGCTCAGCAGAGAGCCATAGGGTTTCATACAATGCTGTTCCTCTGTCTCTGTTTTTGAAGGAAACTGAACAGGAATTAGCCAGAGACAGCAGCTGGATCATTTCATAACACCTGCTCAAAAGGTGAGTGGGTCAGAAGACACTGCTGTTCCCTGCCCCATCACAAACCCTTACCTCCAGCAGAGATGGGCCCAACATACCTGCCAGATTTCTTCCCAGATTTTTTGCTGCCAGATTTTTTAGAGTCTTTATGGGCCAGGCTGACTCAAGAGGCATCATCCAAATTTCCTTGTCCCGAGATTTCCCTTTTTCCCTGGTTTCTGGCCTCAGCCCACCTTGCCCACATCAAGCAGATGGTGCCCGAGCCTCGTGCTGGAAGTGCTGTTGGCCCAAATGAAGCGTAACACGCCGAGTTGTCCCTAACAAAGGGGTCCTCTGTTTGGCTTTCCCGGGAGGGTTATTATAGCCGGCGTTTATTTTGGCCTGGGACCAAAACATGCATTAGTGTGCCTCATCCTGTGCACTTCTGTGTGCGGCTCTGACAGGCGTGGGGGGCTCTGCAGACGCCAGGCTGGAGGGAAGGTTTTCAGGAGTTAAAAATCTTCTTCCCATACACGCCCTGTCCAGAGAAACGGCATGCAGTAATTAATTTTGGCTTCTTGTAGCAGGATAATGATACTGAACCTGCATCATAAATGTTTCAGGAAGCAGCAAGAAAAGCAACAGGTTCACACTGTGCTGTGAGGATGGCCCTACAGCAGCTGAAGGGGTTTTCCCATTCCCAGTGCACAGAGCTACTGGAGAAATGTCTCTCCACACCAGGAGATGCAGCTGCTGTCCCCCATCCATCAGTTTCTTTGAGGATGATGGCATCCTTTCCCTGCAAGCTGATGCACCTTTGGCCAGGAAGAGGCCTTTAAACTGCATTTTGTAGCCTCGAAAGAAACACCAGCAAGGTGCTAGGCAGCAGCAACAGCTCACCTGGGGTGGCAGGAGCCCCAGGACAGATGCTGGGACACTCAGTCCTGCCCCAGTGCTGCTGCCACAGGTGCTGCCACTGCATCCCTGTGTGAGCAGCTCCCTCGCTGGGCTTTTGGCACATCCTTTGCTGGGCTGTAAACGTCAAAGCAGACGGCATCTGCTCTCTGTGCCTTGCTGTAATTAGGAAACAATATTATTAAAACCACTTCCCATCTCTGCTTTCTTTTCATCTCCCCTCCTTTTCGTTGTTGCTCTATTCTCTCCCTGCAGCCCCTGGCCCTTGGGCTGAATGCTGATGAGCTGCTGTTTGGTCTAATCTGCAGTGCTTGTTAACGGGGTTGTTAACACAGTTTCGAACCACCTGCTCTGGGTTGGCTTCCCCCAAGTCCTACCCCCCCAAATCAGAGCCCATTGCTGGGGGGTGCTGGGGTTATTGCTCTTTTCTGCTCCAGATGCTCAGGGGCACCAGCTCTGCCACCCACGTTGAAACCGAGCTCTGCCCAAATCCACGCGTTTTGCTGTGAGGGCATCTGTGCCAGCGTGACTCTTTTTTTGTAAATCACAGCATAAAGGCATTGCATGAATATCTGCACACCCAGCCTCCTAACCTCCCCCACAATTACTTGTTTCCAAAAGGAGCATGGCCAGAGCTGGCAGCCACCGAGGGCTGCAGGGATGGAGCATCTCTCCTGTTAGGGGAGGAGGCTGAGAGAACTGGGTTAGTTCAGGCTGGAAAGGAGAAGGATTGAGACTCACCTTACTGTGGCCTTCCAGGGTCTGAGAGGAGCCTGCAAGAAAGATGGAGAGGGGGCATGGAGTGACCAGACAAGGTGGAATGGCTTCAAACTGAAAGAGAGTAGGTTTACATAATATATTAGGAAGAGATTCTTCCCTGGCAGGGTGGGCAGGCCCTGGCACAGGTGCCCAGAGAAGCTGTGGCTGCCCCTGGATCCCTGGCAGTGCCCAAGGGCTTGGAGCAGCCTGGGACAGTGGAAGGTGTCCCTGGCCATGGCAGGGGGTGGAATGAGATGATATTTAGGGTCCTTTCCCAAACCAAACCAGTCTGTGATTCTATGATTTCTCCCGGGCCATTCGCTCCCGCCTGAGACATCCAAGTGCCAACACTGGATGAGGGATGCTTTCCAGCACTCCTTGCACAGCCAGGATTTTACCTTCAATTCATGCATCTTACAGTCAAATTTCAAATGTAAAATGTGGGCACAACAGCCACAGATACCCCTCCCTCAGCTGAGTGAGAAGATGCAGACAGCAAGTGGGGAGGAACAGGGCTGCAGGAAGGGACAGAACAGCCAGGTGGCCCAGGAGAAGAGATCCCAGTGGAGCTGAGACCTTGTGGAGTTACTGGGCCAGGGAACTGGAGTCTCCTCTCTGCCAGACACAGCAGGCTCACACCTCCCTAAGAACAGCTTTGAGCTCACTGGGCAGCAGCTGGGCTAGGGGAGTTGAGCACTATTTGTACGTGGCACTCCAGGTGTGTTAAGATGACATTTCAGCCCCAGTTCAACACCCTTTGTGACACCCCAGCTCTGAGTTACCCCACCTGGAGCTGCTCTGAGGGCTGGGAGGGAAGCCAGCTGCAATTTTCTGCAGAAGAAGCAGCTGGAAAGGCTCTCCCACCTGTCAGCCAGAGCACATCTGGGTCTCTTGTTTTAGTATCGCTTCAGTCAAGGAGTAGGTGAAAACTTCTAGAAGTTGAGGTAATTTTCTAAGAACAAAAAGAGTACCAAAAGTGTATTGAAGACATTTGTACCATTTTCCTTCCCAATTTTCTCCTTTTGTTGAGCGCTGTTTTGGGCTAGATGAGAGCCCTGGTCTCTGCAGAGTGCTCCTGTAGCTGGTACTGGGATCTGGAGCTGCAGACATCAGTTTGCCAAGCACAGAGATGCCTTTGAACCTAATAACTTGCTGACAATAATACTCTTTTACATGCTAATAGATAGGATTGTTCTTCAAACGTCTGACATTTATGGCAGTGTAATATCTCAGGTGGAAAGCATGCCAGGGATAGGCTCGACTTCCCAAGGCAAGAGCTGGGGAAGGAAAGGGATGGAATAGGAATTATTAGACAAGATTTGTGACTGAATTTCACTTTAGGTTTCCTCCAGTTGCTGCTGTTTCCTTCCTATATTTCAAAAGCTATGACTACCCTGGAAGGTAATTCACACAAAACCCCCTAAACAAAGCCATGTAAATAGAGCAGCAAACGGAGATGGGCTGTAAATCAGCATCATCCACCTGGAAGCTTTCCTGGCTGGTATCCAACTGAAAAATCAGGGCCAGGCCTCTGTAGCTCTGCTTAGTATCAAAGAGACAATAGGCAGGAATGCCTGCCTGGAGATGTTTGCTTGAAACTGATGAATTATTAATAAACTTATTGTTATTTGTTATTGTTCTTAAGCAGCTTGTCTCGGTACACATGTTAAAGTGGATTTCAGTCTTTCCTTATTATGCCTAACAAATATTTGTGTCCAGATGCAAAGTGGGGATGGTATCTAAATTCTGATGGGAGATGCCCAGAGGGAATTTGTGTGTATGGGGCAGTGGGAAATCTGGGTTTGTGTTTGCATCCCTGCCCACCTGAGGTTACTTGAGTCAAGCATCTTTCCAGTGGCCAGCCAGCCCATAAAATTGTTGGAAAACCTGCTAGGAGAAGATGTGCAGCAGCTCTGAGGGGCAGAGCTGGCGCTGCACCCAAAACTCCAGGTGACTCCTTCCCCAGGCTGAGTCCTGCCAATATCTCTGCAGCATTTCCAGTGGAGAGGAGGGCTTGAGGAACAGCAAGCCTTACGTGTTTGGTGCTAGCTCATGGCTGAGACAGGAGTGGGAATATTGCCATGATGTCTACTGAATAAATATCTGCTACTGCTGCTCTCATTTGTCTGTACAGTTTTGGAGGAGTTGCAGATGGCTCTTTAAATACTTGCAAGGCCTGCAGCTTTTCCAGAGTGGATTTTTTTCCCCCTTTCTCCAAGCTACTTGGCTCCCTACAGTAATTAATATTATCTAATGGGGTGAAAAGCAAAGCAAAGCCTTCATATTTGAGATTATTCACACAAACAAAAATGTAAACAGCTGTCTGAGAGAGAAGGAAGAAATGAGCTCTGAGACAGGACCCTGCAGGAATGAGCTGCCTGGAGCTGTACAAAAGCCTGTGTGCCAGCATGTTTGATGCCCACTGGGCACAGCCAAGAGATGCTGTGCTGCCACATCCTGGACAAGGACTGGGGCCACCAGCAGCCCCAGGACACTGCCCAGGGTGTTTGATTCCCTAGAAATCTCAATTCCCACAAAACACTCTCCTCTCCAATGCCAAAACATCACTGTGCTCATCCTGGCTGAAAGCTTCTCTTCCTGTCCCTGATGTGATTTTTCTGTGAAATGGCCATGACTTTTTGCTGTTTTTATTTTTGCCACACCTGCATTGTCCAACGAGTGGTGGCTCTGGAAGTGGCTTTTCCAAGCACCTGCACCAAGAGCTGAATTTCTGCTGTTTGCAGGCAGAACAGGCGAGAGGCTGTGGGCATCATCACCATGGATATTCCCTGCAGAGAGGAATCATGCATCGTGGGGAATGCACTTTATGTAACTCCCTGGCTGAGGGAATATTTCCCAAGTTTTTGTTACAGCCACTGAACAAATCTCTTGGCTGCACAGAAGCATCCCTGTAGTACAAAACTGGGGAGGAGAAGGCCAGACCCAGCTCAGGGAGCAGGGAGAGCCAAGCTGGAGCCAAAACATGGTTCTGAGCTTCCAAAACATTCTGGTGGTCCAGTGGCTGCCAGGTTGGAGCCTCCTGTTTGTTCTCTGTTCTCCATTCCTGACTGCAGAGCTGATGCTCACAGGATTTGAGCAGGTCAAGCCCGTGGAAGCTCTGGGGGAGGGAGCCTTGCAGGATGGCAATCCCAGGATTTGATTTCTGTCATCTAGCCCATCGTGCAGCTGCTGCTGAGGCTCTGGGGTGGTGTAGGCTCTGGATACACAGGCTTCCTTGTGCTGGGGGGTTCTCCCAGCATCTCCATGGGCTCCCCATGGCTCTGCCTCAGCCCCTGGCTCAGCAGAGCAGCCCTTCATGCTCATCCTTTCCTGCTGCTCATGCTTGAGGTGTGAGTAATCTGCCCCAGAGCCTCCCTTGTGGCTCATGGAGCCTCTTGGGCTGACCAGAACAGGGTCACAGATTTCTGCTGCTTTCACAGCTCCAGCTTGATGGCTCCCTGTTGGGTTCAGGGTTTGGCCTGTCATCTCCCTGGAGCACAGCAGTGTTTTGTGGATACTGCTCTAGCAAATGGTTTTGAAATAAAAAAAGTGCTGATTAACCCTATTCCAGCAGTGTCTGTGGGACTCTGATGGGTTTCAGGACACTCTCAGGCAATGTCCATGCCAGCTGCTGGACTTCCTCTGCAACAAGTGATGCTGTGCAACAAGCTCTACTGCTAACACTAATCTTGCATAGGAAAAGCCCCCAATGCTATTTAGTCATTCCCCTCAGCTCTCACTGGTGTCCCTTTGGGACAGGTATTAGGGAAATTCTAGCTCTGAGAGCTTTGACAAAGAAATCCTCATTGTAAGGCTGGAAAGCCTCCCACCTTTCCACTTCTGGAGGCCAGGAAACGAAGCACAGAGAAATGATCTGGAGGATGGCCTTTATTCCAGAGCCCAGCACTGGTTCTTCTGAAGGGAGAGGGAACTGCCTCTCTTCATTCCTGGTGAAACAGCTGGACAAGCTTTTCTGGCTGATTGTAGGACTCAGGCATGAAGCCAACAAATCCACAGCCTTTGAATTCAACACCTCCCAAAGTCAACAAGAGCTTTGTTCACCTCTGGACACTGAATTTCCACTTTATAAATCCAGCCCCCTTCTAACCTGGCATGGGGCACCATCAGTACCGTTATTACATTAAATCAGAGTAAAATTATTATCTTTAGTTTCCCTTTCCTTGAAGCCACAAGTCCATCCAGGCACCTGTGTGGTTAATCCCAGACCTGATTCTGCTGGGGAGTCTGTGAGTTCCCAGGACAATGTGTTTCCTCCAGTGGCCACGGCACTTTTCAGCTTTTCCCTCACACCTTTAGTGATATTTCTTTGAGGCAATGGATATAAAATTTACCAAGGCAATGGAAAATCCAGGCTCCATATTGCAGATTTATTCTCCAGCAGGACTTGGAGGGAATGGGGGAGGAGTCAAGAGCATTATTATTG